CTAGAAGTCTTGATTCTGGGATCATTTCTTAAAACATTCACATTCTCTTCTCTCTCTCTCTCTCCCTTCTTTTTACACAGGAAGTTGGGTTTAAGAAAGTGTCCTTGAACTACTCTCTCAGGCTTCACAAAAGGACATTGACCTGACTGATCAGATTATTGCAAAGGTCTTCTAATTGGTCTCCCTGCCTCAAGTCTTTCCCCATGCCAAACCATCCTCCACACCACTGCCAAAGTTATTTCTTTAAAGTAAAAGCCTGACCATGTCACCTCCTACTCAATAAACTCCAGTGTCTCCCTATTACTTCTAGCATTAAATATAAAATCCTTTGTCATTTAAAGCTCTTCACAACCTGTTTCCTTATCTTTCTGGTCACCTCACACTTTACTCCCCTCCACATATACTATGATCCAATTGCACTCTTACTCTCTATTCCTCACGCTACTTTCCATTTATGGACTCTGAGGCTTTGTACTTGCTCTACCATGCCTGAAACCCTCTGCTTTCTTACCATCTCTTAGAATCCCTGGCTTCCTTTCAAGATTTAGCTCCAACACTGCCTTCTGAAGAAGGCCTTTCCAGGTCCCCCAGCTACTAATGTCTTCTGTCAGGTTGTGCTCTGTCTACTCTGTGTGTATCTTGTATGCACCTGATTTTTACAATGTTTTCTCTTCTACTGGAATGTAAGCTCCTTTAGGGAAGGGATTATTTCTGCCTTTTGTTGTATCCCCAATGCTTAGCACCATCGCACTTAATAAATGCTTGCTGATGGATTGATTGCCAGGAAAACTTAGATCTATTATATCAGAACAGTGAATAATAATAGATCTGGAGATAGAAGGGACCTCAGAAGTCATCCAGTCCAGTCCTTTATTTTTAAAGTCAAGGAAACTGAGGCCCATCAAGATTAAGTGACTTTCCCAAGGTCACATGGGTGGGGAGCACCAGAGATGGGTGGGCAGATCACTGCAGTTATACTGTGAGCAGCTATTCTCCACCCTGCTGTCAGCATACCCTGAAGGATGCCATCTTTGAAGGCCCCTGGACTGTGGAAATGGGAATGAAGCCCAGAAAGCACCTGATCATGTCATGTAAGTCAGTCTTCAATACCATTCACACCTATGTAATAAACTGCTTCACCCAAGAACGAGAAGACAGTATAGCTGATATAAAAGGCATCATATTATACTGGAAATAGCACAGGACTTTGAGTCAGTCCCACCTCTGTCGTGTACTAGCTGTTTGACCTTGGGTGAGTCAATTTACATCCCTGAGACTTAGTTTCCTGATCTGTCAAGTGAGGGATAATAACTCAGCTGCTGTGAGGCTTAAACCAGAGAATATAAGTAACCTTTGTACTTGTAAAACATCATAGACATTGGCACCTGTTGGGGAATTCTTGGAAAACAGACAATATGAAGAATGATATGTTTAGAAAAGGGTGTTCAATTAAATATTAATAAGTGTTTTCTTAAGATATATATTTCTGGGTGCTGTTTATGCAAGAATGAAATCAGACACAGTCCCATTCTCAAGGAATTTATAATCTAGTAATAAAGATAAGACAAGTACATAAATACCTATCTTACAGATAAGATTTTAAAAACAAAGCCAGCCTGATCTCCAAACAAAATGCTATCAAAAATTTAAGAAGTATCAGGTCAGTTTCAGGTTAGGAGAGATGACTTCATGAGGGGGATGACACCTGAGTTGAACCCCAAAGGAAAGGAGAGAATTTAAAAAAGACAATGATTAGTGGGGAGGGCATTCATAGGATCAGAGATTTGGAGCTGAAAAGGACCTTAGAAAGCAACAAATCCAGCCACTTCATCTTACAAATGTGGAAACTGAGCCCGAGAGAGTCACCAAGATAAGCAAATGTCTGAAGCAACACTTGAATTCAGGTCTTCCTGACTCCAAATCCAGTTTTTATCTCTTCTGCCACCACAAGAGGATAGCAAGAGGAAAGGCAAGAGGACAGGGAAGGACAGGATGAGAATGGGGGGTAGCATTAGTTTGTTTTACTCTAATATAACATACATAAAGGAGAGTAGCTGAAAAGGTAGTTTGAGCCAGAATGAGACTGACCTAAAATGTTAGACTAACAAGCTTGTACTTTACTTATAGGCAATGGGGAGTCAATGAATGTTTTTGAAGAGAAGAGGTGATGTGATCTGAGAGTTTTGTTCTAAAAAATATTCAGCAAATGAGCAAGATGAATTGGAGATGGGAGAAACTAGTAGATAGAAGATCCATTAGAAGCCTTTTACAATAATAGAAGATAGTAACGGTTTGAACCAGGCTAGTTGTAGTGGTCGGTCGGGGGAGGAGGTAGAAATGAGGGCATAGATTTCAGGGATATTTTGGTGGTAGAATGGAGAAAATTTGACATCTGCTCGGATAGATAGGTGTGTGCCTGAACTGGAAGAGGTTATAGATAAAGGGGAGGGAAGAATACTTTTTGATATCTGAATTGCCAAAATTATTCTTGTCTGTAGTTAGCCTCTGGTTTCCAAGATTTTACCCAAAGAATAAGTAAACAGCACAAATGTATTAAATAGTCCCTAAGCACTAATAAAGACTCATAGAAGCTTAGAATGTTAAAGCTGAAAGGGAACTTAGAGGTCATTTAGTCCAATTCCTTCATTTTTATAAATGAGGAAACTGAGGCCCAGATAGGTGAGATGATTTGCGCAAGGTTATAAGAATTTTTAGGATATGATTCTGTGATGAATTATGAATAATCAGTTTACTGCTACAGCTTCTGAAAGTTTATCAGATCTGATATATTCTTAGAATGCAGATTAAATAGGAGGAGAAGGAAAAGGAAAGAAAGTGGGAGGAAAGGAAGGGAAGAGAGAGGGGAGAGAGGGGAGAGGGAAGGTAGGAGAGAGAGAGAGAGACAAAGACAGAGAGACAGAAATAAAGACAGAGACAGAGAAAGTCTTCCTGCTTGTTATTTCATCTGAAATTAATTCTCTGAGAGTACCTTTAAACATCAACACCATCTCTAGTTCAGTTTGCCTGGAAAAAGAATAACTCTACCCACATTTCAGTTGAGTATGACTCATTCCTCTTTTTTTTTTTTTTAGGGCTCAAGGTCTGGCAGGAACTTAATCCTCTTACCTCAGCACACCATTTCCTCCTTTCCACCAGTTAAGTCTGGTTTTCTTGGGCTTGGTCTTTCTGGAAAAATAAAGCCAGTGTTATAATATAATTTCCACCTTCTCAGCTCCCTCAATAATCTCATATGGTTTAATTCTGTTACTTAGAGTATTTTTTTTACAAATACTAATTTGGTTCACCAGTATTCTATAAGGCAAGTTAAGTAAGATATTTCAGAAATACCAAAATGAATATAAGCTTAATAAATTAGTTCTTATTCAGTAATGCCATTGTTAAATCTGGTTTTCTTACTATTGCCTATTTCATTTCTATACCCCAGTATATACAGACGCTAGCCACATAATTTGTATGCACACTTATCCATGAGCGATGTGGCATTAAAATCAATTTGTCTTTGAAGAGGAGAAATTGTTTGTTTGGTTTTTTTTGGGGGGGGTTGGCAGTTGGGGTTAAGTGACTTGCCCAGGGTCACACAGCTAGTAACTGTCAAGTGTTTGGTCTGAGGCCGGATTTGAACTCAGGTCCTCCTGACTCCAGGGGGTGCTCTATCTGCCCCATGTTTGTTAGCTATGAACACAATATGGAGACGTTGCTGGAGCTATATGGATGGCTTTTATAGAGGGGGCGAATTTCCAGCAGAATATTGGAAGTGGAGGAGGTATATGGGTTGTCATAAAGAAGGGAAAGCAAATACCACTCCAGAGGGAAGCAGGTTAAGTGTTGAGTGTGGTTCACTGTCCCCAAAGTATGCAAACCATAATTGGTTGAAGGCTAAACCTTTTGACCTCATTAAGACTATCAGAATAACTCAATCTTTCTCAAACTTTTTGCTCATGGCATAGTACTAATTCTTTGCTTGGAGGACTTGTAGCTTGCTCAGAGTGATTGGAGAGACTCTTGTAAATGCATGTGATTGCAAGAATAAGTTCCGTACAGCTTTTGAGAAACACCAGGATAAATTATAGTATGTTTGAATTTCCATAAGGATGCTTAAATTGTATTGCCTGAATTTCACAGAAAGGATACAAAATTTATTCAACATTGTGACCAATGGATGGAAGCTATCGTTTAGTAAAAGAGAAACTTCCAAGTAATTAAACTATCTATAAAGGAATGTGTATTCAGAAGGTAGCTAGTTTTCTATTACAGATTTTCAAACAAGCTGGGGAACCACTTCTTGAAGTTATTATTGAAGGGATTTATGCCTTGACTAGGGAGCTAGAGCATACAACCTTTACACAAGTCCATAATTTTTATGTACTGACACAGAGGCTTAAATTAAGTAATGATTATCTTTTACAATAGAAGTATAAAAGTCAGGAAATTGCTAATGATTTTTCCATTCTACAGTTAATTTCAGGTAGGTATGTGTGTACATACACAAATTAATGGTAAAATAATGAGATAAATGCCACGTATCACATAAAAATCAGTCTTGTTCCCTCCTAGTCATATTTCTTTTTTTTTTCCTCTGAAATTTTCCACTGGAGAACAACTACATGATTGTTTTACAAATGCATTTGGTGTGCAGTCTGTACTTAATGCTAAATTTTAGATCCGTATTAGCCCTTACAGTGTGCTCTGGACAGCACTTTCTCAGGAGGCAGATCTTCGATGCTCCAAAACCTAGGTTTTCATCTCCATACTCTGAATATTCTAAATATACATTCAGACATTTATGTCCTGAGCATTGGGATCAGCGTCACCAGAAAAAAAAAAAAGCCCTTATCTCCCAGAACCCACGCTTCCTTGAAGCCTTTCTTTCTCAACACACTCTGATAGTTGCAGCCCAAGTCCTTAAAGCCATCTCCAAAGGGGGAACCCAAAGGTACAGCCTCCAGTGGCTGATTTGTCTCTGCAGCCCGTGACACCCTACAGCTTCCATGCAGTTTGGCAGTGCCCTGCCTGTAGAAAGAGTCCACTCCCAGAAGGGAAGGGCTGGGTTTCGGATTTCATTTCCCTTGTAAACCATTCCCAGATTCCAATCCACTTGCAGGGCTTCTCTGCTGCTTTCCAGTCTCAGACCTCAGAGCAAGCGAGCCCCCAGCCCAGGGAGCTGAAGGAGGGCACGGTCAATTTCAGGAAGTCCAACATGAGACCAGCATCTCTCTTCCCCCTCGGTAGTCTCTTTGTTTTCTTCTGGCTTGTAGAGGGCAGAATCATCGGGGAAGATGAAGCCGGTTTTGCTGAATGTAACAAGTTCTTTTATGAAGAGACCCCGCCTAAAGGACTGGCTGAGCCTTTCCACGTGAAAATCTGTCAAAAATACAACGGCAAGGAGCGCTTTGCCACCCTGTACAGCACCCAAGAAAAGATACCTGTTTACTCGGCTTTTCGATATGCTGTCTCTGGAGAGAGTAGGGAGCAGGGGTGGATGATCGAACCCCAGGTGAGTCAAACACTTTTGTAGATATTCTGCAGAGGGACCTAAACAAGGGAAGGCGGTTAATTTCTTTTGCCTTGGAATCGGAGGGAGGGGGCCTAAATAACAGGAGGGGTGATGGGCACTGTCCCATGAAATGCTGTGCCAGAAAGTGCCTTCCTCCAACCTGAATTCAATTCTCCCCGCCCACCCCCAAGCCTTTATACTCTGCTTAAGAATGGAATTTCAGCTCATAAACTTTATTACATTTTCATCCAAGTCCCTACACCACTAAAACATGACAGTAGAACCATTTGGTTCTCTGAGAGACTCTTCTTGACCCAGGGTCTATGAGCTTATTTTTAATTTTTTTTGATAACTATTTCAAAATAATTGGCTTCCTTTGTAATCCTATGTATTTAATTTTATACATATTTTTAAATTTTAAAACATTATTCTGAGGAGGGATCCATAGGCTTTACCAGACTGCCAAAAGGGTCCATGACACACATACAAAGTTTAAGATCTACTGCTCTACACAGAAATTTATCTATATAAATGATGATGCACATACAACATGAACGGTTGCTTTTATAAGGTACTCCACTAGTATAGGTCCCAAGTGATGCTAACTTACACATATACTTTGCTTTGCAATTTACAACCTGTTTTCCTGTGAAGTAGGTAGGCTCAGAAAGGTTAATGACTTGTCCAAGGTTGTGCAGCTCGTAGAGCCAGGTTTTGACCTCAAGTTCAGTGCTTTCTCTGCTCTACTATGTAAAATGAATAAAAGTAAGGAAAAAATAAAATACTATTTACAAAAAAAAAAGGAAGATCTATGGTCACAAGGCTTAGAAACAGAAACATGGACAATGATTTTAACTTAAGAGACACTATGAGGTATTTAATTAATTTCTTCACAATTAAGAAATTTAGGAATTTGGAGGAGTGTTTCCTGTTATTCATTGTAGTTTATCTTCCATTCTACATTTGGGAAAATACCAGAAATTGTCAAATTAAGAAAAAATTTTAAAAAGGATTTTTAAAAAAGGAATAGCAAGAACCTGGGGAATGTCTGCCTATTGGCTTGGTAGGAAGGACAAAATAATTCCCCCCCGTTCATCATTTCTCCAGTATCAACCCCAAGGATTCAGAAATCAAGCCTTCAGCTGTCAAATCACACCCTGCAATGTGCTGCAGTGTTCAATATTAGCCAGTCAGAGGAATTGAAATGGCCATCAGTTCTCAGCCTTCTGTCCCACACCTTCTCCTCAACCAACTATTCTACTTCTAAGGCATTGTGGCATGGGCACAAGTGTGTGCATGCAAATGCACATGCACATGCACACGTGCACACACACACACACACACACATGCACACACACACACTTGCAGAAGCCAATAACCCTTCACCTAGCGAGAAGGTTGCCCATCACTTTCCACTTGCCCAGCCTTCTCTCTCTTGTCCACGTTGCTGCCAAATCCTTCCCAAGCCTCCTGATGTAATAAACACACCCTAACCCAACCTGTTCCTGATCTCCATAGCCTGCACCCCCCAGCCCCACCCAAACGAATACCAAGACAAGCACCTGGGTTTTCCGTTCTTAGAATGAGCTTATTTAGAAGCCTTGAAATATAGCTGCTATCTTGCAATATCTGTTAAGTGTCCATTGTATAAATACATCACCCTAGAAGCCATCTCCCCTCCCCCACCCCATACTAGAAGGATATAAAGGAATAAGAATACATAGGAAACTAGATGTGTCCACAAACACAAGGAGAAAAAAGTGATCAGAGTGGGATGGGCCTTCAGAAACTTCCCAGAGAAGGTGAGTTTTGAGTAAGAATGGAGTGTAAGGGGCATCAACTGGCAAAGGAAGGAGGAGGTTCCAGTGAAGGGCCCTCCCTTCTGCCAATGGATAAGATCAGGAGCAAGTAAATAACATACAGATCACAGCAAGCTGCTCTGTCTAGTTAGAATAGGAAGTCTGTAGTGGGGAATAATGAGGATAAAACGTTGATGAGATGGTTGAGAGAGGGGGGAAGTTGATAAAGGAACTCCAACGCCAGGCTAAGAATTTCCAAAAGGCTAGATAAGAAAATGCATGGCAGTGTGGTGTATTGGAAAGTATAAGGTCTGGGAGCTGGGAGACCCGGTTTAACATCCTGGTTCTATGCCTCTGTCCTTGCCTCTGTGGCAAGCTGTGTAACCTTGGACAAATTGCTTAATATCTCTGAGTCTGCATTTCAGAGAATCAAAGAAATTTCAAATTTGGAGAGAAGCTTAGAGGTCATGCAGTCCAACCTTTACCCTAAGCATGAATCTCTCCTATAATGTCTGACAAGTGGACCTCCAGCTTCTGCTGGAGCATCTCTATTGAGAGGGAACTTGCTGCCACCTGGGATAGGCCATTCTATTTTTGGACAGCTCCTATTGTTAGGTGGTTAATTGATATACTGAGCCAAAATCTGTTTCCGCACAATTTCTACCAGTGATCTTAGTTCTGCCTTTGGAAATCAAGCAGATAAGTCTAATTCCCCTTCACTTAGTGGTCAACTTATTTACATGTTGTTTCTTCCTTTAGACTAGAAATTCCTTGAAAGCAGGGGCTGTCTTTTATCTTTCTTTGAATCTTCAACTTGCAGCTCAGCACCCTGCACATAGTAGGTGCTTAATAAACATTTATTGGCACTGACTGAACAAGCCTTTTTAAGCACCTGCTACATTCCAGGGACTGTGCTAGAGGTGAAGAGTTCTTCAAATAGTTGACGTTGCCTTTACAATAAAGAACTAGATAATTTCTGAGGTCCACTTTAGCCTTTGCTTCCTTCTGTGGTTTCTAGAAATTAGAAGTTAACTTTTTGTGATGTACTTATTGGAGCGCCATAGAGCATGAGGAAGGTTCAGCTAATTGAGCAGAGATACCCAAGCCCTGCCTCAGTCAGCACTGGGTCTGGTAGATGATGGTGTTCCATCCAACTGTCTAAATAGGTCAGAATACTGACTCCTTATATGCCTCATACCTACATTGGCTGAGTGCATTGCCTCTGTCTGCAAGACACATGTGCTGTACCAAGAGCCATTTCTCTGGACAGCTTAACTGAGAGCCAGAGTTCTAAATGCAGCCATTCTTTCATTTATTCACCAGTCAATAAGCATTTGTTAAAGGGTTTAATATGTGTCAGGCACTGTGATAGGAGTTGGAGATATAAAAGCCAAAAACACTGAGTCATAGCCTGCCCTCTAGGAGTTTACATTCTACTGGAGGGAATGTTACATACATGTCAAGAAGTAAATAAAAATCTTTGCAGTTGATGTTCCCCCATGACAAGAATCCTACCTGTTCTTACCTCTACTGCTGAATTTCCCTGGCTTCCTTCAAATCTCAGATCCGATCCTGCTTTCTACAGGAAACCTTTCCAGCCCCCCCAAATGCTAGTATCTTCCTCTCTTAGATTATTGCCCATCTGCTCTCTGTATTTTTTCTACGTACCTAGCTATTTGCAATGTTGCTTCTCTCTTTGATGCTTCTTATTGGCAGAAATTGTTTCTGCTTTTCTTTGTGTCCTCAGTGCTTGGCATAGTGCCTAGAACAGAGTAAACATTTAATAAATTTTTTAAAATAATTGATTGATTAGTTGATGGTAGAAGCTACCACCTGAGCTTTGAAGGGGACTAGGAATTCTGCTGTAGGAGGCAGAGCTGAGGAGGGACCACATGCCAGGTATCCAGGATAGCCTGAGCAAAAGCACATCAAGAGATGGAATGCAGGGTATAAAGAATATCAAATGCACCAGTTCAGCGGGAAGGTAAGGTGTGCGAGGGGGAGGACTGTGTAATCAATCAGTCTGGCAAGGTCAACTGGAACCAAATTATGAAAGGCTTCAGACATCCAAGAGAGTCGGTATTTTATCCTAGAGGCAATAGGAAGCCACTTATGGGTTCTGAGAAACAACTGTAGTATGTTATGGAAAGAGCTCTGGGTTTGAAATCAGAAGGCCATGGTTTGAATCAGGGTTCTACCACTGGCCAGTTGTCTGACCTTTAGCAGTTCACTTAAACTGCTCTCCCTCAGTTTATTTACCTGGAAAAAGAGATAACACTTGAGCCACCTGCCTCACACGGTTGTTGAGCAAATCGAATGAGATAATGTCCATAAAGGGATTCATAAACCCTAAAGTAGCATACAAAGATCAGCTAGCTGTGATGGAGGACAAAAGGAACATGATTTTCAGCAGGGTTGAAGAACACATCACCAAAAATGAATCCCTGTTGACCAGCCAGCTCCTTATGTCTTGTACCCATTAAGGTCAATTAGTCAATAAGCAGGCACTGTACTAAAGTGAGAGTATGAGGAAAGGCAAAAAAACAAACAAGCCATCCTTGCTCTTAAGGTGCTCACGATCTGATGGGGAAACAATATGAAAACAATTACACATAAACAAGATATATGCAGGATAAACTGAACAGAATCACAGAAGGAAGGAAGGAAGCATTAAGGGGGATTGGGAAAGGCTTCTTGGAGATGGTGATATTTTAGCTAGTATCAAGTTCCATTTCAGAGAGATACGTAGCTCTGAGGTTTACATTTTGTCTGGCATAAAGCACTTCATGACTGTGAATCACTTTACCCAAACCTAGGACACACTTTTATGAGGTCAGCATTATTATTAGGCCCTCATCAGCCAGGGGAGGAGCAAAGACAAAAGGGAAGCTTCGCCCTTGCCTTAGGTTATGGAGTGAGTCAGTGACAGAGCTGTGGATTCCAGGTTCCCAGAGACAGAACTCTGGGAATACATCTCTGAACGAGCTAGATCTTTTCAATTACATTGACTGAGCCAAAGGAGAATCCAGGGGGGACCTTCTGGAGGCAGAGGAAAGTAGAAAATTTGCAATGAGGAAGGCAGTGTTACTTCATGGAGTAAACACAAACTTTGGCTTGACGAAAGACTTGATTGCTCCTGACACAATCTGTGGCCTTGGGAAGGTCATTTAACCCTTTGAGGCCTCAGTTCCCTCCTCTAAA